TGCTAACGTCACGCATCCCCCCCCCACAAACCCTACCCCTACGCGTAGGCCCTGTATCTCGCACAAATGCACGGCTGGGGGGGGGGAAATAATGGATATAATATACTAGGCTGCAAACTTTTGATTTGCCATATGGCTAGCTCCCATACTGTACACAATGTAAAACGTATAAAAATAGACTTTTGTGTTTTGGGAGGGGCGGAGTGACCATGAAGTGTGTAGCGGCAACCCACATACAGGACGGGCGAGAATCGATATGTGGTGAGCGTTTGTGGTAGCGATTAAATGGGAATCGGCCGATTCTAAAGAAATCTACAACCTTCGATTCCTTTGCTCGATTTAAAGAATCGAATATTGGCGGACGAGCGTAAGTTTTTATTTCCACCGCTCGTTGGGGTTTATTTTAATGAATTAGGTAATGATCAAAGTTTTATTTTCATTTGTATATGTTATGTTTTTAAGTTTTGAGAAGTTTTTTTTTAATTCCCCTGGGCAATGCCGGGTATTTCCCGTTAGTACTACATTTTGAAATGTTTATGTACATCTTAAATTTAAGGTTGTGGAATTGAGAAATATGAGAGATGCAATTACAATTCATTTACACTTATTCATTTAAATGGCTACTATAGATTGCGTTATCAACCTCCAAACAAATTTGTATTTTCCTACAAACAGTTCTTATACCTGCCTTTTAAGTTTATTGACAAGCTAATTCCCTATATGCCCTGCACACTCCCTATTTGAACAAGTACTTTGACCAGTTTGTACTTATCACCTTCCCATATATGGTATTACTTTCATGGGAATTCAGCATAATGACATTGTGGGTGGTGTTACTTTTATATTCGATCATATTTTCAGTCAGAATGAAAATATATATTTCCTAGGTGCTGAAAGGGTTTGAATACTGAAGATCCTGGGTTAGAATCCATGCAGGCACCCATGATTAAAATATGTTCTCATGTATAGAACATTCATTTGTACTGTGATTTGTTAGCCAGGTTACATAATTTTCTATAAAGTAGCACCAACCAAAATAATCAGACTTTATGCCCAGACAATAAACTGCGAATGTAATTTTTGCCATATCATTAAATGTGATGTTCCGCAGGTAGTTTGGATGTCCATTGCACGTGACATACATTGATGTCAAAGCTGCACTTAATTAAATTTAACTTGCTGCTGTCTTGAAGGCACTACATGCACCATCTTTATTCTCTGTTGATTGATTGATGGAATGGGATTAACAACATACAGGTTTGCACACAAAAGTACAGTGACCTAGACTGTCAACAAATGTAATTGGCTGATTGACAAGCCACCTTTGACTCTACAACAGCTGTGTCTATTCTTTATACTGTATGGTTTGGAGACTTGGAGATTGCGGAAGACTTTAAGTTTTTCACATGAGACATCAGTTACCAAAAATCCTACATCTGCATCGAGAATATATATGTTGCTGAGACTTTCAATCTACCAAAGATCACATGAGGAAAAGGAGACCAAGCCCCCTTCAGTCATAGCGTTCGTCTTCTGTAGCAGACAACTGTGCTCCCTGCTCTGTGAGCTAGCATCAAGCGGAGTTGTTTCAAGGAAGTGCCCCCGTTGAAAGCCTAAATGGGCATACGTTGTTTAAATCGTTCAGGATCTCAGCATGCTGGTGACTGAGGCCTGCTAGGTGGCCTCGGAGACGATATTGGAGAAGGCTTTCAACGCTCCTTATTAGCCATGCATTTTGATAACGGTTGATGGCCTCATCGGTTGATTCACATGCATTAAACTATTTATTAAATACAAAACAGCTCCATCTAATGTTGGGTAAAAGAAGAGCATTGAAGAGACTTAATAAGTAGTTGTGTGGTCTTCTAGGGCCATTCCCGGCAATGACGTGATATTCAGCTGGCTGTGGGAGTTTTGGCAGTGTTTTTTAACTTCATGCTATTACAATTATACATACATTGTAACGGAGTCACGAGACAACGTATTGCTATGCTAACCATAAAGATATTGATTTGAAGCTTTCGTGACTGCAGGAATCCATACTCTTTGGTTCTTTTGGTAAAGTCACGTAGGTAGAAATAAATAAATAATTAAAATCATATATCACGACGTTTTGATCGCAACAGAAGCAGTCGTCCTCAGGTGGAAAAAATAATCCAGCAGTGGAACTGCTGAACCAGGAAGAAACACAGCGAGAGAGCTGTTACAACAAGACGTCAATGTTTTTTTTTTGCCCATCAATGCTGAAGCAGCACAATCTCTGACTGGTAATTACTGTTTGAGACGCGTAATAAAAATCAATGTGCAGGCAATGCACACACTCAGCTTTACCTGTTGAGTAATGACAATGAAAAAGTGATGAATTTCCTTGACGCCGTAATTGGACGTAGAATTTTGACAATATGAATATTTGCATTTCTTTGATAGCAAAGGTGGGTAAGTGATCGTGTCCATTGTTTTTAAGTGCGTTCATGCTTTCAGTACATTCTGCTCTCAATTTCTCATCGGTTCTTTTATCACAACCACGTGACAACATTTGTCCAAACATTTTATCTTCACGTTTGGTTTTGCTTCTGAACTCTCCTTTCCGTGTGACATATACACTTCCACACTGCTAGGTGTGGTGGTGCACACTCGTGTACACCAGCATATTGGAGTAAGGGTCGATTGATCACACACATTTGATCCCAAGTATGCAACTCCCATCCAGTTGGGGTGTCTGGTGACCATTGAAGAAGCATTGCAGCCATAAATAACCGTCATTTCTCTGCTGTAAAACTTGACATTTTCAACAAAAATAAGAATGAAAAAAACCCTGTAATTTGAGGCAACATTTTTGCCTTATCTTCCAATAATTTATATAGCACCTTATCCAAGGCGCTTTACACAGAATTAATAATAGTACATATCAATGTAATGGTGGAGATGAAATGAATGCAATAGATGAGGGGAAGCAATGGGCAAATCTGTGGTGCGTGAATTTGGTGAAAGCAAAATTGATGACTGTAAATGATGATGAATGGATTGAATAAATGGGGAATGAGTGAAAGCCATGAGAATATGAAGAGGGAAAAGTCACGGTGTTGGTTATGAGGGGGGGATTAAGGAGTCTTGGGGTGAGCTCGGGAAGATAAGTGAGTTTTGAGTGTGGAGCGGAAACTAGTGAGTGAAGGTGACTGTTTAATGTGGAGGGGAAGTTTGTTCCATATTCTAGGCCTCGGCAAGGTAAGGTAATTTACCCTTTTTACCGGGTAAAGGTAAAGGGTAAAGATGTCGACATGCCAAGGGGTAAGGTAAAGGGTAGGGTAAAGATAGCTCGGAAGAATTACCCGGTAGGGTAAAGATAGCGCAAACTTTTACCCGGTAAACACGGTACCTTGTCTACCGCTAAAAGCTCCGTCGCGCAGTCCGTGGCCTACATTTAATAAGTAATATTAAAACAAACGTTATTAAAAACACGCTTTTATGAAATGTACGAGTAATGGCAGAACTCCACGACTCCAGGAAGTGGCCCCGAAGCTTGCCACAACGTAAGGGACCGTGGTGATTTACAGCCAACGTCAGTTGAGCGTGGACAATTAGATCCAAGCCGAAACATAACATATAACAAAGATTGTTTAAAAAGATATAGATTTTTTTTATGATAGAATATAGTATTGTCATCAGTATGACCTAAGTATACCAAGTTTGCAGTCGATACCACATTAGGAAGTGGGTAAAAATTGAGTTTCAAGATTTAAGGATACAACAATAACGACAAAAACGACAGTGAGTTAAAAGAAAGCGTGTAAAATTGGAATAATCGAGAGTATTCCATATGATTAAAGCGCTCTACCTAGCATTTACCGTTATAAACCTTTTTCATGTGTAGTAGTTCCGTAGTAATTACCCTGTAATCGGGTAATTTGTATGGGGTAAGGGTAAAAGGTAGGGTAAAGGTAAGCTCGTTGCTTTTTACCTTTTACCTTACCTGCTAAAGGGTAAAAGGTAGGGTAGAGTGATTGTATTGTGGTAAGGTAAAAGGTAGGGTAAAGGTAGGCTCGTTGTTTTTACCTTTTAACTTTTACCTTACCTTGCCGAGGCCTACCATATTCTATGGTTCTTTCAGTAAAGTCACGCAGATAGAAAAAAAAAAGTTTGTTCCAGTGAAGAGGGGCAAGAAGAGAAAAAGAGCGAAAGCGTGATTGAGCGCAAGTCGGAGGAGGAACAGAGAAAGACAGCAAGAGAAGGCACGTAGAAAGATACAACCATGGCAAGATATGATGGGGCACGACCATGAAGGGATTTGTAGACCATTGTGATGAATTTGAACAGGCAACGGTAGTACAGGGAGCAAGTGCAGTTGCGCGAGGAGGGTCTCGAGGTATGGGAATTATAGGGAAGGTTGAATATGATCCGAGCAGAGTTGTTTTGGATTTGTTTAAAGGAGGTCAAAAGAATAAATGGGCAGACTGAGCATAAGAGAGTTGCAGTAGTCCAGACAAGTATGGATAAGGGAATGGATGAGGAGTTTTTCAGCAGAGGTATAAATAAGCTGTCGGATTTTTGCGAATGTTGAACAAATTAAACCGCCAAGAGATTTTGCAAATGTCAGATTTTATTTGAATAGGAATGAAGCTTGTATTTGCTGGAAACTCATAGGCAAGGGTCATCCCATATTTTTACCCCGTGTTAGTATATCATGAGATCACCATTACCTAGCATGTAGTGCTTCATCTCTGTGCTTTATATTGCTGTTTTATCAACATTTTAAAGGTTTTATTTTTTTAATACATAATACAGGAATATTATATTGTTCGTGACTTGGGTTAATGTGAGGTGACTATAAATAATACTATCGAATGCCCAACAGTGAAAGACATGACGGTACTTTTAAAACTTAAATCAATAAATGTACAGATGACTCTTTTTTTAGTTTTAGGTAAGAGTGCCAACTTATTGTCATGAACTTCAAACTTTTAAATGAACCACTTTTTCTGCTATGTGTCCTTGTGACGCAGGGTCTGTTCTTCTACCTGACGCCCGGAATGTGCCCGAGCCTGGCCACCATGCGCTCCATCATTGAGTGTGCGGGGGGGCGAGTGCTAACAAAGCAGCCAGGCTTGCAGCGCCTCGCTGAGCACCGCAATAACAAGGTGAGGGGTGGGGATGGGGGCGGCACTCCCTGTCACAGCACCGAGCCAGCACCTCCGGGATTCTGGGTTCCAGTCCATGGGGAGGAAGTGGTTGGTCTCATGCCTGGTCATCAATGACTGTGTAATAATAACGATAGTTTACTTATTTATGCAGGAAAGTCACACTGAGTCATAGGATTCTTTTTTTTAGGAGGGTCCTAAAAAGAACGATGTTACCGGCCAATTGATGAGTGTTTATTCAAGTGAGAGGAAGCCAGAGCACCTGAAGAAAACCTGCAAGTGCGAGGGGGCAACACTATCCCCATACAGATGGAAACGGATGGAGATTAGTCCACCTGTTGTATTGCCATATTGGCGAGCTAGGGTATGGCACCTCGACGCCAATGGCAAGGAAGTTTCCCAACATTTGTGCGATCCACCAACCCTCACCTCCACCCTGCTGGATTAAGGCATGCCACCACCACTGTAAATAGTACATTGCCTTCTCACAAAGTCATTTGAACGCTTGAAAGGACTCGTATTCAGACAATTTTGAATGGCCTGTCATTTATCCACAGTCAGTCTGGTTGCATTGAATCCACACTTATTAAGGTTTATGGATATATGTAGGAGCAGAAGCATGCACACGGTTTTGCAAGTACACTTTGTTTACAGTGAAATGTCATTATTTTCCCATTTCTTGCATTTACCAGCAGCTATCATTGACAATTTTTTGAGCCCCAATTAAATCCCCATTAAGAGAATGTTAAATTATCCTGGTATAAGCATCGTGCTCACGTTTTTACACAACCTTAAAACATTCTGTCACGGGTGCCTTACATCTTCCATACATTTCTACCTTTTTCTTACGCTGGGAAGATTGGCGACATCAGCCAATACCTTAGTCCCCAATGAGCTGTGGATATGCAACATTGTACTGTACGAGAGAATAATGGGTTGAAATATATAATTACAGTGGGTATTAGTCTATTTCTCTACTTGTATAATGACAGGGTGACACCTGTCGGCCTGAAGAGGTAATTACGGTTATGGGGGTATTACATAATGCCTTATTATAAGGGAGGCGTATCTGGAGTAAAGGTGAAAGGCGGAGTTAGTCCAGAGGCTCCGGGAACCTACTGGAAGGTTCTGGAAGGGGGCGTGGCCAGAGGCGGGGCTTGGTCGCGCCGGGGCGCATATAAGGGGGGCCGAACCAGAGGTTCGGGTGCTGTTGCGGGTCCTGGCTGCGTCGCTGCTCATTGTCATCTCTTCGTCTCCAACCACGTGGCTGCAAGACCCTCTCTGTCGCCGTCGCTCAGCTAGTCGGACAGCTAGCGTAGCGTATGCCGGAGATGGGCTATGTGTTAGGATCGCCTATGTGTTGCTGCATTATGTAATGTATCGCTCCGTATGCTCTTAATAAACAAGAAGCCTTCTACTCGACGTGTCTCGGAAGTCGCTAACTACACTTGGTCACAAGCCCAAATCCTGGCTGGGAGTCGACTCAGTTTTTTATTCTTCACAGTTTAAATAAAATACGTACAATTTGTGGGGCGTCAACTGTGGTCATGCTATTCATAATCAACGTTTTTGGGTTTAGATCGCGTTTATTTATAAATGTGTCGTAACCCTCCACCACCCGACACGGCCAATCAGTAAAAATGTGTCACGTTGACAAAGACAAATAGTTCACTGCTTTAGCCCACCGGTGTGTTGAAGCCACAACATTTACAATTTGAGTACGACGTTTCGCTGGTAATTGCATCCAGCATCATCGGGCAATTCGCCATTCTTCACCATTCTGGCGAATTGCCCGATGATGCTGGATGCAATTACCAGCGAAACGTCGTACTCAAATTGTAAATGTTGTGGCTTCAACACACCGGTGGGCTAAAGCAGTGAACTATTTGTCTTTGTCAACGTGACACATTTTTACTGATTGGCCATGTCGGGTGGTGGAGGGTTACGACACATTTATAAATAAACGCGATCTAAACCCAAAAACGTTGATTATGAATAACATTGGTCGCGAAAGCCTACGTGTTAAACTGTGGTCATGCTGTGGAGACATTTGCCCTGTCGTGTTATTATGCTCCTTTCCCACAGCTGAGATGTATGCCTTCCCCATTCTAGTTGCATAGATCTAATTTGACCTGGCTTTGAATGACAGTATGTAAGTGAATTTTGTGTATTTCTCTTAGAATGTAACTCTTATTTTGTCTTTGTGTCTCTGCCAGAACTTGCCAGAGATCATCATCATATCTTGTGAAAATGACCTACACCTGTGTCGTGAATATTTGGTCCGTGGCATTGGTAAGTGCGCATTAAGAGCGGAAATAATATAAACTAGCTGGTGGGGGGGCCTGTTACACAGACCGATATATATTCAAATATATAAACAAAACCAAAAGGATAGACAGAAAAAAGTCTAAGTATGCAGTCACGCCACACTATAAAAGAATACATCAGTTCTGACATGAACAACAGAGCTAATTTATACGGCTGGAGGTGACCTGGATAGGTCGAGTGCAATCTGCATTTGAATGAGAACCATTCTGCACACGGTCCCAGACAAAGGTGATGGCTCTTAGTATTAATACGGCATATTAGATATCCCGGATTCCTCAGAGATGTTTCTCTGCGGTGTAACTGTTATATAACAGTCGGGGATCGCGGGCGAGTATATCCTTCCTCCAGGCTTGATATGTTGTAGTCTTGTCCTCCGTAGAACCGGTTCATCGAGGAGGTGACTGAGGTTTATAGAGGCAGGAGGCTGAAACCCCCCCCCCCCCCCACTACTCTCTACCTTTCCCGAATGGGGTTTCCGCAAGGCCCAAACCGGGTTTTGTGGTCTGCCACGCAAGCTCGCACGCATCCCCGGTCTGCACACAACAATCCACACATATATAACCAAAACTACAATAAAACGAAACCAATGAAACATAAAAATCATAAAAAAACATAATAACCAAGCATATACAGCACACAGAAAACGTGGCGGGGGCCTTGGAAAAGTGAAATACTCCAGGGCATACTGAGCACAGCTTAGGGGTTGCCATAGCACAGCAGGGCATGAGAACTATAAAACCCATACCCTGAGCACCATTGGTGGTTGAAGCATGAGGCCTGGTCCCCCATTCAACACGGATTTATATATATATACAGACATCAAAAACTGTCACGGACTGGTTGAATATTATATTTATAAACAGTTCATATTTAATATATTTGAATAATGAATTTGCAATCCCAATATAAATTGGGTGTACTCATGTACTTGCTTCACTGTGATATGGCAGATTAAGTAAAACTATCTGGTCAAACAGGCCAATCTGCAATGTCCAATATTTTCAGTTTGTGTCATACACACCGTTCTATCGCACGCACCATGTGGCCGCAGTAAAAAAAGGTGTGAGTACACAATCGCAGTCCCATTACACACGACATTAGATGTTACCTGTACACTAACCCTGTGTGATCTATTTTGCTGAGTCAACATAACACCTAAAACTATGTACTGTAGTTACACTTTAAAGTTATATTTTCCCTACGTCCTAAACACTTAGCCGGTGTTTTCGTGGACAATGGCCACTACGTGCAGTTGAGTGGATGAAGTCCAGAATTCTAAGAGCATAATTGCCCCACCTAACATTACACATCACACTATCTACTGTACAGCTCAGAAATAGTACATGTGTGTAATGTGGTTACATACCCTCACCATGTGCTATATCTGAGCTGTATACAGTAAATGGTGAGGGTATTTTGAGAAAATAATAAGTGTCTGTCGTCAAAGAAAAGTCACATTAATGTTGTGCAACAAAGCACCGATGTATCATCATTGCGCATACTCACTCAGTACACCCTTTCCTACAACACGGTACAGATGCAGTACGTGATAAAATGGAGACATGTCGAATAAAATTGTGCATTGACCAATCGCTGGGCTCCAAAAATCCACGGTGGATAAAACAGGCACTTTCTGCCAATACCCGATTAAAAATGTAGTTTGTCCAACCCACAAGCCGGAAAAAAAACAGCGTTACATTTTGTAGACGAGCACCGTGTGACACACACTCACGCACAGATGCACAAGACGATTAACTTTTATATATACAGTATAGATGATGTAACGATAAGTTAATAAATGTTGTCTCAAAAAATGTTTTTTTGTTATGAACTCTTTTAAATCAAAGATTGTTCAGACTCTTTTTGAAAATATTGGACTCGTTTCATGAGTGTTCATATGCGAACACATTTGTTTGCAGGGACTATTGTTATCCCTTGGAATTGGGTCCACTGAATGTGGTTTGTCAGTCAACAGGAGGTAGTGGTTACATTTTTGTAAATGAGCATACGAGAGATTGAAAAAAAAGCTTATGGAAATTTCTCAGGATTAATGTCCTGTTTGCTGACATTAATGACCAGTACAGAGGCAGATATAGTGTGCCCCTTTGCTTTACCTACTGTGATTAATTGCCCCATTATTGATCTCCTAACTGTTCTATGTAATAATGTAGTACAACATGGATTGGGGAGCTAGATTATCTTCCTCCAGTTCGCTAATAAAAAAAAATCCATTTATTTGAAATAGAGTGGAAATATGCTATCTGTGGATGGCATGTATATAGTCAGACTTGTTCCATGTAAAGGCAATTGTTTTCAATGAAATGTGCATTGCCTGCATGATAGGAAAATCTGTCTTATAGTTCATTTACACTCGCTAAAGTTGCGCTATCTACAGGAAAACCAAATAATGTGTGCATCTCATTTACAAAGGGAAGCTCTTTGTATATGGGTTTAATCATTCAATATTGACAGAGTAAATATTAACAGTCAATATTGAATGCAACTATCATTGCAGAAGCCTTACACTCTCATACAACATGTAACTATTGTGTACAGTGGTGAATGTCACATTTCACTGCATGTTTTTATAGAATGTTAAAGTAGAATTAAGTTACTCTTTGGTTCTTTCGGTAAAGTCACGTAGGTAGAAATAAAATAATAATAAATAAAACAAATCACGACGTTTCGATCGCAACACAAGCAATCCTCATCAGGTGGGAACACCACAGCAAGATAAAATGCTGAAGTGGGCGAGAGAGCTGCCGTGGCAAGAGGTTATATAGGTAAGAAAGGAAGGAGGGAGGAGCAAGGGGGGAGAGAGGGGGGGGGAGGAGGTGGGCTGCGTGAGCGCTAAGGGGAGAGGAAGTGAGGCTGGGGGGGGGGGGAAGTATGCAGGGCTAGAAGTGGAAAGCTGGGGACACGGGGGGAAAGAGACTCGGAAAAATAGACTAGTAACCGGCAGGTATGATGGAAACAATCACAACAGTTAAGGCTTTACCTGGTTAATAACATCCTTCCAATGATTGCTCAATTTGTATCCATCTTCTCGGTTGAAGTTAAGTCTATGTTTATATATCTGGATGGCTTCATGAACAAACCTTTGACAGTAGCCCGAAGGTTTGCAGAGTACCTTGGTCTCGGAAAAGACTATCATGCGAGCCCACAGCGTTATAACAATGGTCAGCCACGGCAGAGGTATTGGTTCTGCCGTGATCTAAACTATACGTGGTAATTCACAACAGGAAAATCACTGGTGTTATAAAACACAAGTTGACTCTGGCATGATGTATTTAATCACAGATGCTAAGCAGAGGCCATAATTCCTAGAATGCAAGCAGCCAGACAAAATAAGAGCTATAAGCTGAGGAAAATAGTTGTGAGCATAGATTATCGCTTATATAGGGAGAATAGCATTTGGGAGCCGGAGCATGCATGAGTACCAAATCAGGGCGATGAAAACAAGGAATTAGGTTTACAACTGCAAGGGATTGTAAAGAATGACAGCTTGCATAGAGCTTTATGTCCAATTTAATGTTCCTGCTCTTAAAAAAAGAGGGGACCTCACTCCTTGCACGCGGTAACCCCGAACGAGTTTTGTAAGTTCATCGTTCCCATGGTGGGGGGCAGTTCATCCATCGGGTGACCGTTGTGGACTTCCAGTAAAGTGATTTTTTATCGAACATCACTTGGATAATAGACAATAAATCACGATCCAGGATTTGAGCTCAGCAAAATATTCTAAGTAGCTAATTCGGATATATTTTTATTGAGATCAGAATCAGACTCAGAATATTTATTTATACTGGAGGAATCCGATGAGCAATAAAGGTCTTTTTCACAGATGTCCAGTCGGGTTTGGTCAGAATTTTACAACAAGAAACAATACAAAAACACGATAGGAGTGCAAAGTATAAGACATGTAAATAAATAACTTTAAATGTATACAAATAAAACTAAAAATGTTTGTCTTACCAGGTTAGGCCCAGATATAAACCTGTCTCATGTAAATACATTAGGTCATTTACCCAGCCATCGACATAAAGGTCTATTCCATGATTAACTGTGTCTCCCATGTGTAAATCTGACATTTTTTAAATTGTTCTGAGGTAAAAAAAAAAATCCTGATACATGTTTGGGGCGTGCAATGAGCTCGTGCATTGTTTAATATATTTCACTTTGGTCATCAATATTGAATGTCATAGAGCAATGTTCAAATACACCTTGTGGATTATATAAGCTGAAATGAATTAATTGCTCTTGTATTTGCATGTCAGGGCAGTTGTAATCAATATGCTATTTCTGCTCGTCTATTCCCTACCCCCCCCTCCCTCTTTCGACAGAAGTGCACAATGCGGAATTTGTCCTGACGGGGGCATTAACACAGACCCTAGACTATGAGTCATATCCTTTGCAATGAAAACGGTGCTTGTGTAAAACATGTTTTGTTGTCGCAAAGGTGCCTTGATTATTGTATACTAAATATGCGGTATAAACAGAGTTCAATGTTAAAATATTCACTACTCGACTGTCATATTTGCTTGATTGTAACAAATGGCAACGGTGGGATAACCATATTAATAGAGAAGCTTAAAATATTAATTATATTTCGTGCAATCTTTATTCAGTTTTCCTCATCTTCTATCAGTGCTTGCACAAGCACTGAGTGCTTTGAGACAACTGTCATGCACACGTGAATGTTACTGAGAGACGACAACACTATCAGCTGCAAGGAATTATTGAATCACTGAAGATTTATGCGCATGTCACTGCGAGTCGCCATTTTCAACTAAAGTGTGTTCTCAATACTGGGCTAATTCAGCAGGGCTGGGGTGCCCCTGTATATAAGATTTCTTAATAACAACAAACATTATTTCCATCTAGGCCAAATTTATCCCATTGGCAGCTTATTTTTGTTTAGCTTTTTATCTTACCTATAACAGTATTTTTTTTTTGTGTGTGTGGACGTGTGTCGCTTTTAACTGACAAACTGTTGGGTTTACGTTTCAACAAAGTACACCGTTAAAACAAACTAAGCCCCAAATGGAAACTCGCTATTTGTTTTTGCCCTCCGTCAAATGTAAACGAATAAAATCACACTTTATAATAATTTACGCTGATCGCGGCACCAAAGCACGCATTTGGGCAAACGCGGAACGCTGACTCGCGGTTGGCCCTAGCAGCGCACACGAGCTCGCTGAGCTGCGACGGGAGAGAAGTTCTTCGAGTTAAAAAGGCAAAAAAAAGCACACCACTTAGGTAAATCCTGAACAGTGTGATGTCCTCTTTCACCCCCCCCCCGCCGCAATGTGTGCAGTTACTACTGTAGAGTCAGTAGATGCTACTGTAGCGTCAGTAGATAGTACTGTAGCGTCAGTAGATAGTACTGTGAAGTCGGTAGATAATACTGTGAAGTCGGTAGATACTACTGTAGAGTCGAAAGATACTACTGTAGAGTCGGTAGATGCTACTGTAGAGTCGGTAGATACTACTGTAGAGTCAGTAGATACTGTAGAGTCAGTAGATAGTACTGTAGAGTCGGTAGATGCTACTGTAGAGTCAGTAGATAGTACTGTAAAGTCGGTAGATGCTACTGTAGAGTCGGTAGATAGTACTGTAGAGTCAGTAGATGCTACTGTAGAGTCGGTAGATAGTACTGTAGAGTCAGTAGGTAGTACTGTAAAGTCGGTAGATGCTACTGTAGAGTCGGTAGATAGTACTGTAAAGTCGGTAGATGCTACTGTAGAGTCGGTAGATAGTACTGTAGAGTCAGTAGGTAGTACTGTAAAGTCGGTAGATACTACTGTAGAGTCAGTAGATAGTACTGTAGAGTCAGTAGATAGTACTGTAAAGTCGGTAGATGCTACTGTAGAGTCAGTAGGTAGTACTGTAAAGTCGGTAGATGCTACTGTAGAGTCAGTAGATACTACTGTAAAGTCGGTAGATGCTACTGTAGAGTCAGTAGGTAGTACTGTAAAGTCGGTAGATGCTACTGTAGAGTCAGTAGATAGTACTGTAAAGTCGGTAGATGCTACTGTAGAGTCAGTAGATGCTACTGTAGAGTCAGTAGATGCTACTGTAGAGTCGGTAGATAGTACTGTAAAGTCAGTAGATGCTACTGTAGAGTCAGTAGATAGTACTGTAAAGTCGGTAGATGCTACTGTAGAGTCGGTAGATACTACTGTAGAGGCAGTAAATAGTACTGTAAAGTCGGTAGATACTACTGTAGAGTCGGTAGATACTACTGTAGAGGCAGTAAATAGTACTGTAAAGTCGGTAGATGCTACTGTAGAGTCGGTAGATACTACTGTAGAGGCAGTAAATAGTACTGTAAAGTCGGTAGATACTACTGTAGAGTCAGTAGATAGTACTGTAAAGTCGGTAGATGCTACTGTAGAGTCAGTAGATGCTACTGTAGAGTCGGTAGATAGTACTGTAGAGTCGGTAGATGCTACTGTAGAGTCAGTAGATAGTACTGTAAAGTCGGTAGATACTACTGTAGAGTCAGTAGATAGTACTGTAAAGTCGGTAGATGCTACTGTAAAGTCAGTAGATACTACTGTAGAGTCGGTAGATGCTACTGTAGAGTCAGTAGATAGTACTGTAAAGTCGGTAGATAGTACTGTAGAGTCAGTAGATAGAACTGTAGAGTCGGTAGATGCTACTGTAGAGTCAGTAGATAGTACTGTAAAGTCGGTAGATGCTACTGTAGAGTCAGTAGATAGTACTGTAAAGTCGGTAGATGCTACTGTAGAGTCAGTAGATAGTACTGTAGAGTCAGTAGATGCTACTGTAGAGTCAGTAGATAGTACTGTAGAGTCGGTAGATGCTACTGTAGAGTCGGTAGATACTACTGTAGAGTCGGTATATGCTACTGTAGAGTCGGTAGATGCTACTGTAGAGTTGGTAGATACTAGTATGTTATAAATATTAAAAGCAACAGAGGTAACAAAATGCACCACTGAAAATAAGAAGCCAATTCCGAAATATGCATTTGAATGCTACAGTGGTTATAGTACAACTCGGTGATAAACTGAGAACACGTGAAGTTTCTGCACAGCGTTGTGCGCGCCCTTCAAATTTTGAGCTTCTGGGGAGGGGTTTTCAGTGTATTAATTTTTAGGATTCTCCAAAAAAGGCCCGTTGTATGTGAGATGCAGTTTATTCCCCGCCCACGTGTTATGCCTCCCTGTTGCCTTTTGTCTGGTGATAACAGAATAGCCAGTGATTTTTTTTTCCAAGTATGCTCATTAAAATATTTGTAGAGCTGGATTGTAGTGAACACTACATATCCAGATTATAAAAATTGCTGCCAGGAAAAGCTGTTCGTCGTATTTTAATTAACAGGCCAGGAAATGTTACTTGCAGTCAAAGCGATTAAGCTGAGTCTTGGCTAAATTGCCCCATCTTTAGCTAAACTAAATTAAACTGGAAATATCGTTTTTATTCGCCAGTGAACATTATACTGAGAATTGATTTATTTTAGTTAGTCTATTTCACTCATGGATTACTTGCATAATTTGAACTATAAGATGAAATTATTGCTTATTATAAAAGTTAAAAATCCGATGTGACTAGATGGGTATATATTCATCTTGTGGATAAATCCACCTTGGTGTAAGTACTCTCATGAACAATGTTATAATTGCTACGTTTTGTGTAGGTCCAGAGTGTAAATGTTTAATTTGGAACTTAAAGGTTTAATTTATTTAATTATATGAATCAGATGTCATATTTACTTGGTAATGCATTACATTTTATTTAAATTATTTAATGCAGCCATTGATTATAATTGTATATTCTAAAACAAGTCAATCTATGAATTTCACCAATTTTTAACATAAAATTAAATTCTGTTGAACATGGGAAGAACTCGTGCATGGGATTAACTGCCCTTGAATGTTTTTTTTAAGGTGCAACGCAAACATTGTGCTAATTACCTTTGCTCATATGTAAGTGCCTTGACAGTTCGCACGTATAGATTCACCTAGGCCGTGGGATAACGAGCTCAACAGGCGGTGTCTTCCATCTCCCTTGCGTCTGGTGGCCCACTGGCTGGGGTCGGCTCAGGAGGTCGTGCGGGGCCGCTTCCCTGCCATCTTTTACATTGCAGCACTCTCCTAGGCCTCATCCTACTACCCCTTTGAGACAATCACCTGCTTAATTTTTCTAAACTTGTAAAAAACACAATTAGGTCAATTTGTGCAGCTGTGCAATTGCTTGCTCACTCCACTGCTGGCGGAAGGACTTCCCACTAGAGTGTACAGTCCCGCTGTATATTGCATTCTCTCCCATGCTGACAAGATATCTTGAAAGGGGTGGGACTACTTTACCTGACCACACGTAGCCTGCCGATTGACTAACTGTCGTGTATCCATTTACACTGCTGGGCGTACAGAGGCGGGGAGGGGGGGTTTAAAACAATAATAATAAAACTTGTATTTACCAGGTAAAGCCCACTGAGAATTGGCTGTTTTTCAGAAGTGACCTGGCCACAAATCATAGCTCAACTAAGTGGCTTATGTTGAAATTTATAACTGTCAAATATAATCCAAACACATGTTTCTAAATGAGGGAAAAACCAGAGGACCTGGAGAAAAATCCAAGCAACTACGGGGAGAACATGTAAACTCCGAATATACAGGCATCAGGGTCGGGATCAATACCACGACCTCCTGCATCCCAGGCGAGGGAGATAACATCTCACCACCACAGCGCCTATTGTTAATACAATTCATTAACGTCCACCATTGTTTTTGAAGTCCAGGTGAGCAGGTGGCTGTTGGAGTTAATGCCATGTGAGAGCATCATTGCCAACAACCCTGACATTTTGTAACATTGGGTTTCATCCGAGTTCTTTTGGGTAGCAAGTTGGTCGTCTCAGTCCTACCACCGATGACTGCTCAAGAAAACATTGGCATATTGCAATTGAGGACCAACATTTTCATAAAATTGTATTGCGACGACCACTGTTTGCAAGGCATATATAAAAAAAAAACATGCCACCTTGTATTACAAGAGGCTATTGAGGTTCTCACTTTGAGTTTAGAATGAAAATGTTTGTCTTACCGCTTGACTGATGGCGCAATTGGAGAGTAATTCTACGGGCGAAGGGCAAACATGGGATGTACAAGCTTTCGAGGTCTTGTACGCTACCATGTGCCCCATTGTAAATACAACAATGCCACTCTCGTGCAATGATGCAGCTTCCAGCAGTGCTTTTCGCTGTTGTACAGTTTATCTTGAGCTATAATATTGTTTGGTGGGTCTGAAACAACATTGTTCAAAATACGATTTGAAACATCTCGTTTGCCCATGTGCTAGTGCTGGGATTGGCTGGTCAAGATTACACATGGGTCATGGTGGTATTTTCTTTTGTAAATGCAATAATAAAAGTGGAATAATATGTCTGAAGGCTTGAGTTAATTTGCACATTTCCAAATTATTTCTCAAGCATTTTTGACTACAAATTGTAGGCTGCAGAGGCATTGCTTGTGTATTTTGCCACCTGTGTGCTGGTGAGCTAGGGTCAGCCATCTAGCCTCCAATAATCATTAAAGACGTCGGTAATAGCTGCAGTAACTCACTAATGTTTGTAATTAACTGGGTTGTATTTTTTAACGTCGGAATATTACAAATCATGTTAACCAGACAACGTTACATGCAGGAAAGCTGCAGCGTTTACAATCGGCTTTACTAAGTGTCCCGAGTGACGTTGACTCCTGAGTGAAGTAAACTGTTGGAGAGAGAATCCTAAAAGCAACAGATTGAAGGACATTATTGAATGCGGATTGGGATAGGTGCGACGAAATGGAGACGAACGGAGGAGAAATGGAGATGGAGTGCCCCTTCATAAACTAAATTCAATAACGAAAAGCAGTGATCCGTTTTTCGTAAAGCAGAAATGTTACAATTGGGATAAAATTCCCACTGACGTGGATCAGGAACATGAACATTGATCGATTAAATTGAATCAAAGCAGAAAAAAAGCACTCACGTGCGTAGAGATGCATGCTTGGAATTATCCTGAGACAAAAAGAGGAACTCGATCCGAGAACAAACAAAAAAGACATGTCTTACCTAAATAAGTGGGCCGGGGCAGAACACGTCACCAAAAGGGTTGATGGCTCATGGACGAGGCTAATAGTGGCAGCTGAAGAGGATGACCACCATGGAGATGGGAGTCGTGATATCTGTCTGTGTACAGAAGTGAAATTCATTGTGACCACAAGAACATGAGGAATGGAATCAGGGAGGGTGGAGAGGCTTTCACCCACCAGTGAATTGGGGCATATTGCTATGGGTTGTAACTTGTTAACTCAGGTCACCCTTGCGAGAGAGAGTTTTGAGTCTTAATCGGTTATCATTTAGTACTTAAAAAATGTATCACACAAGCCTTGTAATTCAGATACAGGTTCTTTACTATCGTGTTCACATTATTTTCAGATGTAAAATTTGTATCATTGTAAACCGCTTCAGGTTATCACAAAAGCAATTGTGTTGCAAAGACAAAGCAACTATTTTGTACCGGTTCACTTTAAATGTTTAGAAGAAAACCTGTAACCCTTCAGAGACAACATTGTCCTGATCTTGTATTGGCGATTCAATTCCAAAGAATTGTATGTAATGCGTAGAGTGTAACACCTGGTATTTATGTATGTGGTTCTCCTGTCTTTAGAGTATACGAGTCTTTGCAGTGTGTAAT